CTGGCGCTGTTCTTAGGCCTTCTGTGTCGTCAGGTGGACTTCGTCACTGCGTTTCTGAATGGACCGTTGGACGACGTAGATATTTACATGGAGCAGCCTGACTACTTTGATGACGGCACTGGTCGCGTTTGTAAGCTGCAGCAAAGTCTCTATGGATTGCGACAAGCACCGCGTATTTGGTACCGGTTGCTGAATAAGTACCAACGAAAGAGTGGCTTTGAGCGTACCAAAATGGATGCTGGTGTGTATGTGAGAACAGTGGGAGCAAACAAAGTATACCTGACGGTATACGTTGATGGCCTTTTGATCGTTGGCACCGAATCTGACATTGAGATGGTTCTTGGAGGGCTCAAGAGTGAGTTCAAGATTAAGGACTTGGGTAATGTGAAGCATTTATTAGGAATGGAGATCACGTACGTGCAGGGGTGCATGCTGACGATTTCCCAGAAGGGCTACACTGAGAAGATCCTCGTGCGTTGTAAGATGGGTAACTGCAAGCCTGTTCCTACGCCTCAAGCGAAAGGAAACTTTCAGATGCCTGGAAACCCGGATGTGGAGCTGGTGTGTATAAATCCAGACCCGGATGTGGATTATCGGCAGATTGTTGGCTCGTTACAATATCTGGTGCAGTGTACACGCCCAGATATTGCCAACGCTGTACGCACACTAGGAAAGTTTCTGAATTGCTTTACAAAAGAGCATCATGTGTTGGCAAAAAGAGTGTTACGTTATTTGAGAGGAACATCCGACTACGGACTTGTGTGGACAATGTCTGAAAAGCCAGATATGCAGTTTGTGGCATATGTGAACGCATGGAGACCTCCAAAGAAAGAAGTGCATGTTGTGGCATATGCAGATGCAGATCTAGGGAATGAAAAAGATGATCGCCGATCTGTGACCGGGTTTGTTTTGCAAGTGGAGGGTTGTACGTTCGCGTACACAAGTCACAAACAACGACTGATAACGGACGATACGTGCTGTTCAGAGTTTGTGGCAGCTGCTGAATGTTGCACAATGATAATATGGACACACAATCTTTGCAAGGAGCTAGGACTTCGTCGCAAGAAGACGGTTCTCTATGATGATAATCAAGCGGCGATTAAGGTGATCGAGGCAAATACTGGAGACTACAAAGTAAAAGGAATCGATCTCAAGTATCACAAGATTCGTGATTACGTTGAGCAAAAAGAGTTTGCTTTGGAGTACTGCCCTTCAGAGGATATGTTGGCAGACATTTTAACCAAGCCTCTCGGCCCACTCCAGTTTCGAAAGCTACGACAGCTATTGAATGTTATGCCGGTGCCTCCTGCTTCAGATGCAAGTGGTAAAAATTAGCAAGCAACAACAGCCACCAGAAACACGAAGTGGGAGTGTGACGATGGTCGTGTTGTGTAGTGGCTGAGTATACGGTTGGGAACGTACTGTTGCAGTTGAAGTATACGTCCGATAATGTATAGTCTCAGGCTTAACGAAAAGGGGTTTTTCACCCTTCGGGTTTCCTCCTTAAGCCCAAACTGCTCAGTGGGAAGACGTTGTTTGCTTCCATTCTGTCTACTAAATTGCTGTTTGCCTCGCCGATTATCTGCGCTACATGCCACCTTTAGCTGTTGATAGGTCCGAAGCGTCTAGCACAAACGGAACGGAGCCGTACGTGACCGGTGTCTTCGACTTCTTTTTTCCCATGAAAAAAAACAGTGATCGATGTCGATAGCAGAGAGGCCGTCTTGCCTTGCACGTGCCTGTAATGCATAGCTATGAATACACCGAAGAGGTTTGCGGACGTTGTGTATTGCTATTTATAATGTTTTTTTTGAAACGAATGTTCAACTTTCATAATAAAGGTTTTTTTAAATCCGTTTTGATTTAAGAAAACCAAGTGGCTCCTCCGATACAATCCGAGTGGATTTCCACTCGGATAAGATAATTCCTCCCGAGTGAGCGGTTTGAGGATGTGAGAGAGGGGGGTGTTGCCTTTTAGATTTTTTTAAATGTTGATGACGTCCGTAATATATCCACGGCAATATCTTGGATATGTACCGTATCCCTCCCTGTAATTACGATCTCACTCAGTGCCTCTATTCAGTTTCAACTATAATTTCGAATCAACTATAATTTCGAATCGAAATGTTTTGGCAATTGAAATATCGAATTTTTAGGGTAAAATGTAGTTATCCAGGTCCTTCCTTACGCATACCACATGAAACATCAGCGTGTCAAGTATGGCAAACACGCGCAAGGTGTTGACCATTGAGTGTCATCGTGTTCTGGCTGTTTGTGGCAACGTAAGAGTGTTTTCTTCT